CCCCAAAACCCCAAAACCCCAAAACCCCAAAACCCCAGGGGTGTTGGTAGAAGTTGAAATTTTTGGTACTAATGGTGAAGATTGTTCATAAAGTGTTTGTCTAGATGGGGGAAGAGGTGGCACTAGGGAGTTAGAGGGGCAGGTTTGATGGAGATTATGTAGATTAGTGTGAAAGAAATATTGGGAGATGCTAAGGAGTATGATACTCAAATTAGAGAACACTTTAGGTAATATCCTTATTATCCTCTTAATCTGATCCTTCATTGCTGTTTGATATTTAACTTAAGATGAATTTGTTTGTGCTCTATTAGCTATTTTAAATTCTAAGATGGTTTCTTGAGCCAGAGCACAAACATACTATTTCAAAAGTTTAAATTGTTATTTTTATTAGAAAGACAACAAGGGAGTCAGGTTTGCTAAAATGGTAACAAGACAGTAATTTTATTACAATCTCTATAAAAAAAATTGTTGAATCTAATCTACAAACACATTATACCATCCTATGTATCAACATTTCTCAAGATCTTTTCGAAGAAACAGACCACCAATGACTTAAATCCAGTGCCAAAAACCTCAAAAATCTCTTCTAAACCCCTTATATATCCTCTCTACCCCAATTTCTCACCTTTCTATCCCCTAACCCCTCTATCAGCCCTCTCCCCAGCCAAAACCACCTTTTTCCCCCAAAATCCCCACTCAGCTGTCCACCCCAAAAATCCCCTTGCAGAGCCCATTTGCCACTTTTTCACTAAAAATTTCCAAATTTCCAAATTTCCCACTGAAACTCTAAAATTCATGAAATTCCTTCTTAAGCGAAAGTTGTCAGGGAGGATTACTCGCTTGCCTCGATGACGCATTCTATTAAAGACTGGATTCAGTCTGGACTGGTGCTGAAGGAGGTCCTGGTGATCCTGTTTAGGCACAGCCAGGTTGTTGGAGTGGGAGTTTCGTAAGTCTGGAGGTAGAGAAGTCTATCCTGGATCAACCCAAGCCAATTACTGGCTGTGTTAACCTAAAAGATTGGTGAGAAGTGAAAAATTTGGGAGAGGTTTAGGGCTTACGTGGACAAGCAAGTGAGGGTCTGAGAGGATGTTGTCGCCGAGTTCTTTCCTTTGGACTCGAGTGTTGCCTCCTTCACCAGCACAGTCGACGAACTTATCGAGATCGAATAGGACATCGCTTAGGTAAACATTGTGGGTAGGAAAAGCTAGGTTTCCGATAATATTGCCAGTTTCTGAATCATAATTTGTATAAAATCCTTGCTGAGAGATTTCAGTTGTCTGAATAGCCTCGATAGATTCCTCTAAGCTGGATGGCCTAACTAGTTTTAATCTTGGACTTCTAATGAAATTAAGAAGTCGGATGCTAAACACAACTAGTACCCAGAGGAAAAAGAGCCCTAAAATAGCAGTTAGAGCTATAAAAATGTGCTTTCTACTACGAATCTTGCCCGACTTCGAATTTATCTTGATTCAAATCAACAAAAGGCCACTCAGAATGGTTAAAATCACGCCGTAGATGAACCCCATGAGGTGAGTTGACTGGACAAATGTAAGAGAAATCATCAAAACTCCAATAACGAAGTACACGAGGTGAATTATATACAAAATCTTAGAGAGCTTTCCCTTGGGCGTATAGATAAATTCCTCGTCATTTTCATCATTGATCATAATTATTTCAATTCAGGGCCTAAAAATCGGGGTTTTGGGGTTTTGGGGTTTTGGGGG